TAATATATGGTTATTTGATATAGAAAACTTGCTGGTCGTACTATTTTTATTACTGGAGCATCACGAGGAATTGGAAAAAGTATAGCTTTAAAAGCTGCAAAGGATGGAGCAAATGTTGTCATTGCAGCTAAAACTGCAGACCCACATCCAAAATTACCAGGCACTATATATAGTGCTGCGAAAGAAAGTAATTATAAATGCAACAAAAATTTTAAATAGTAGTAAAGTTCTATTATTAAAGAAAATGTACATTTGTTTTAGTTGAACAAATGGGTGGAAAAGCATTACCCTGTGTTGTAGATGTAAGAGATGAAACACAAGTAGTTTCTGCAGTAGAGAATGCTGTTAACAAATTTGGTGGTATTGATATTGTTATTAATAATGCAAGTGCTATTTCTTTAACAGGAACAGCATCTACAGATATGAAAAAATATGATCTCATGAATAATATTAATACTAGAGGAACATTTCTAGTGTAAGTATATAAATTCTAGACTAAATTATATAAACTGAAGTTAATATTACAATATCCATTTTAAGGTCTAAAACCTGCTTACCTTATTTAAAGAAAAGCAAAAATCCTCATATAGTAAATATAAGTCCACCATTGAGTACGAATCCAATATGGTTCAAAAATCACGTTGCATATACAATGTCTAAATTTGGAATGTCAATGTGTGTTCTTGGAATGGCTGAGGAATTTAAGGAAGATGGTATTGCTGTAAATGCTGTGTGGCCAAAAACTGGTAAATTACTGTTTCTTTTATTTTGTAATTAAAAAAAATTCCTAATCCAAGTTTTTATTCATTACTGTAAATTTAAGATGGTTTTCATTTCAGCTATTCATACTGCTGCAATTGAAATGTTATCTGGTCCTGATTCAAGAAATTATAGTCGTAAACCAGAAATAATGGGGGATGCTGTGTATGCTTTAATTTGCAAAGATAGTAAATTCATCACTGGACAATTTTTAATTGATGAAGAAATCTTAAAAAATGAAGGAATCACTGATTTCACTGATTATGCATGTAATCCAGGTATATGAAGTGGGATGCTCAATTTATTTTATGCTCCTATATAAGTAATACATCATAAGTAATACTTTATTAAAAAAATTAATTTCAACTTTTTCAGCAAATAAAGATAAATTGATGCTTGACTTCTTCTTAGAAGAAAATTTGCCAGAGCTAGGTTTCCAAAATCGTATGATACCTACTAACGCGCAGAACAGTGCACCTGCTGCACAATCAAATGAAAAAATTCCGCATATATTTAATATGATTAAGGAGAATTTAAATAGTGAACTTGTTAACAAAACGGGGGCCATCTTTCAGTTTAATGTTAAAGGTATTCTGGTTTATAACAAATTATTTTGTCAATTGCTCTAGAGTTGTACTACTTAATGTACATTTGATAGGAGATGAAGCTGGTATATGGTTCGTGGATCTTAAAAATGGTAAAGGTTCGGCAGGTAAAGGGGAGCCTAGTTATCCACCAGACGCTACACTGACGATGGATTCTCAAAACTTTTTCGCAATGTTTTCTGGTAATTAAATACATGTATTTGTGCATAAAATATGTTCAAAATTAAATTAAGGTCTTTTTGATAATTATTACAAATTAATTAATTATTGCAAATTAATGATATTTATTTAGGAAAATTGAAACCTGCATCTGCATTTATGATGGGAAAATTAAAAATTAACGGCGACCTTCAGAAAGCAATGAAGTTGGAAAAATTGATGCACAGTTTAAAATCTAAACTTTAAAAATGTTCACATATTTACTAATGAAGGTAAATATGAAATATTCTTACTTTAAAAATATCATTACTTTTTGTAAAAGTTTATACAGTAAAATGTTTATACAGTCTTCGAATGTTAATGTAAAATATATTTTTATATACTCTTGTAATATATTTTGTAACAATAATTGACAAAAAATTACACAAATAAAATTTTTTGCAGTTACTTATATATTTTGACGAAATCTATTTAATACATATCATTGATATTTGTTATTCTCTGTAGGTACATTATGTAAAGATACGCAATATTTTGTTATTATAGTACGCGCTACTTCGTACGTTCCAAAGAAGATAAAACCTCCAATTGTTATCCAAATCACTCTAGGGCCCACTCCAGCAAAGAGTCTATAAAATTCATATATATTTCATGCAATACCTGAAAGATTATCAATTATCAATTAAATGTCATGATTTACCCATGTAACCCTTTTTCTGTATATACATCTTCTAGTATATACAGTATTTTTAATTTTGAAGCATTTTCATTTCTATTTGAAAGCATTATTCTCGTTTTTATAACATCTAATGGTGTAGTAATAGTAGCAGAAATACCACCTAGGAAATTTCATGTAATCAGTAGCATATCAAACAGAATTTTATAATATGATACCAAAGTTTTAAACCTGCAATTGCTCCACATACAGCACTTTCTACAGGAAGAATATCTCTATTCATATTTGAACTCCAAATTTTTTTTAAATGCTCCCATATTGGAAATTGTATTAAACTAAAGGGCATATCTCTTAATATAGTACTCCAATAGCCACAATAAAGCATTCTTAGATTAATATCTCTTATATCTAATATTAAAGCTTGCTTTCTTTGTTTTATAACTTCTACAGGTACTCGTATCAAGCAGGCAACCTTCATTTAAACCATATAATGTATGATTGAAATTGAATTTGTTAAAAATTTTAATGAAAACTGTTTTTAATTTACCATTTCTGCTAGAGATGCTGAACCCATGTGAAGGAACGAATGATACTTTTCGGGAACTACACATTGTGTTACAGTTTTAAGGCTTTCATAAGTTACAAAAAATAAGGATGCTAAAATATTGTAAAAAAAATATTTTAATGTAGTAATAGTTTAATTCAAATCATTTTTTATAGTTTAAACGAATTGAATAATTTTATTTTCGTATTGTATCGCATTACCACTTGGTGCAGAACCAACTAACACCGGAAGAAGTCCTTTATAAAGATTAGAAAATCCACCCGATTTTATGAACCCTTGTTTAGATTGCAAACGTGTTTTTAATGTGTCTAATGGAAACAATATCACATCAACAGAAGTGCCAGCTAATCCTCCTGCCTATTGAAAACAATATTAAATTAAATGAAATTCAATTGTAATCATTATACAGTATTTTATTCATAAAATTGCAATCATTAGTAGGTAATAATTAAATCATCTATTCGCGATTTTAGGATTGAACTTTGTGCGAACAATTCGCAAATGTTGAATTTAATTACATAGTAATAAATATATTGTTGCTTACTAGTAATGATGTGACGAAAGTAAATTTCGTGTCTGTTACTTTCAATAATTTATTATGTGTTGTCATTTCATATATTGATAAATAGACAAATAACTAAAAATATGGATTTCACTTAACCTAAGAACACGTATGTCCTCTCGTTGAAAAGTTATTTAACGTTATTGTTAAAATGATATTTTCACGCTATTATTGCATTTTATTGAAAATTTTTATAATAAACGCTACGTAATTATATAATTCAAATGACATTTCCACTATGAACATATTATTGTTACTTTGTTTGTGTTATACTAATTATTACACTTTAAGAAATACGTTCACAAATGAAATTCCTTTTTATAATGTTTATTATCAATTATAATGTTTCAATGAACAAATTCACATTCTTATATTATGAAATTAGCGTTTTTTTTATCATAAATTTTATTTTAATTTTTCTATGTTTTCGCGTTTAGATTCTGGTACTTTTGATAACCTCTTTTTATATCCTCTTAATCTTTTGTTAAATAGAAACGTTTGATTATTATTTTTATTGGAAATAGGTAGAGTAAAAATGTTATTTCTTGTTATAATTCCATCTAAGTTCTAAAGGTGTAATTAGAATTTGTATCAGAAGTTGCATGAGAACCAGCTGATCTTACAAATTGAGGATGAGGAATGTGGAAACCTCTTAGTATAGGCCTTCCCTTTTCTATGTCAAAAGATTGGTTTAATATACCAGTTCCACAAGATGAAAAGTATGAATTTGATCCATTTCTATAAATAGAAAGAATTGTTCAAACTAAATACTTAAAATCATACATGCTTCTGTTAATTTCCTCAATTGCCACACTAATTTTGACATTGTTAATTGTTAGAGTATTTTGTACCTCATTTTTGCACTTCTTTCATTAGTAGAATTTATTGGCGTAGCAAAGTTATTTAAAGAATTTAGGGTTCTTTTTTGCATTTCATAAGACATCAGTTGTTTTCTTTGTTCTGCATTTTCAATTTTGAGCTTCATATACTTTTCTCTGATTAATTTTATGTTTTGGACAAGATTACTGTAGTGGATTTTCAGTGTTTCATACTTTTTGTCCTTGAATGTGATTAACAAGTTAAGTATATGTTTCTATTAAATGTACAGAGATTAAAAAGACGCACAATTTCATGAAAACGTTGTGTCAAAATTTTCATTTGATTATTTTGGAATCCGCATATTTTACGTAACGATTCCAATGCTTCACTGAGTGGGGCAAAAAAATTTTCTACTCTCGATAATGACGGCTGTTGTAATTCCACGGAAAAAATGTCCATTTGTTGACACTGAGGACATTGTTTTTCAGCTGAATAAAAATATTATTTTCATTTGAAAGTTGAACAACGTCGACAATGGTAATCCTTCTATTTCATTATTTACATCTAATTTTATTTATCATTACCTTGCTGTATACATCCGTGACAATATATATGACCACATTGTGTTAAACAAAATGGTTTTTTCCCTCTGGGTGCTGTGGCAAAACACTTATTACAAATTAATGTATTTTCCATATTTTTAGTGTAATGCAAAAATTTAGAATATAATGGATATTCTGAAATAATGCATTTTCAACGTGTTCAATATTTTTAGCTAAGTCATATAATTATTTAAACGAATATTTTTCTATAATTTTTACTTTTTAAAATCGAATGAAAAATGTTTGCACGTCGCGTTTAAATTAATTTTGCTGTTTTTTAAAAACATTGGTGTGAGTTCCTATTATTAAAATATTTCAGAAAAGTCTAGTCATATTTTATAATCATAATATTTTAAATCTGTATGAATGATTAATGATTAGTGGAAATAATAAATTTTTCAATTAATTAAGTCGAACCGCCGTACTGCATACAAGCTACACGAATATTCCCGAATTTAACCGAAGTAGAAGAAATTAAAAATGGCCTAGTCCACAAACGTACATTTGAATAATATTTTATTTTATTTATTAAAAAAATAAAAAATTAAATAAGGACACGTTTCAATGAAAGGATAAAAAATGTCAATCCTATGCTCCATATTACGTGTCTTTATTAGGGTACAAATACAAATGTAGGATTACAATATATTACGATAAAACTTAAAGTGCACAAAATATCAAGTACGAAATTAAACAAATCAAATTTAAAAAATTAAATAAATCAAATCAAAATTTATTCAAAAACAAATTAAACATCGTTGTATTTCCCTATCTTTTTTAATCGTAGTTTACCACCCAAAATCATCATAAAATGGAAGTTCAGTTGGTTGGTATCTAAGAAGATAAAAAATAATACTTTAATTGAGGCAAAAGTTGTAAATAAAGGATTAAATAATGAAACAAAAGGAAATAAGAGATTTATATAGAACTGCAAGGAAAGAGAGGTTATATCTGATGTAGCAGGCAATGTGGGTAATGTCTTTAAGCAGTTAGAATTCATGATTTCTACTACAGTTTACAATACTAACGTAAATGCGAACACATTTGTAAGGAAAGCGAGACTTAGACGATGGAGTCGGGGCCTGGTCTTTACCACCCAGGATCACAGAAAGAGAAAGCGCGCGGATACTTGAGGGTATCATAAATTAAGCCCTTTCTTAGGACAGTTTTGGACTAGGAGGCTCCAACGGTTTTCGTAGGACATAGTACACGGAAAAATATTCTATGTACTTACATAGATACTTGTGTTTAACATCGAACTTTGTAGTTTCTTTTATTTTTATTCTCTTATACATCACGCTCGATAATGCCACAGGCCCAACGATCTCCTGAGTTTCCTGTGGTTAAAGAAAGTGAATGGTTTCCTCTTCCCAAATCATCTTCGCCAGAATGAATGACTAGAGCACGTCCTAGAATGCTGTTCTTTCCGGTTAGAGAGATAATAGAATCCGTGATGTGCACTTTTGCTATTCCTTCAGCGTTTGCTCGGATGTTTCCCAAATCTCCAACGTGTCTTATTGGACTATCTGGTGCGCCGTGCGCAACCTAAAGTTTTCTTTTATAAATATCATCTATGATAATGTAGTGCTTTACGTCGTAATATACCAAGTGTATGTTAAATATTTTATCGCGTTCCCGCTTTAAACCAATGACTTACATTCTCAGGATTAAAGTGTGGACCTGTAGATGTGCAACCGTCACTAAAATCTCCTTTTGTGTGTACATGAAAACCGTGCAATCCTTCTGTGAGACCGTACACATTGCCCGTGATTCGGACTAAATTAGGTGCACATTGAATGATGGTTAATTCTCCCGTAACATAGCGCTTTTTAGCATTGTGGGGTCGCAAGTACACATGAGCGGTTATTTCCTGAATAACAATTATTTCCAATAACATGAAAAAAATCTTGTGAATGCAACTTATAGGAACATATAATTGATACTTCTTTCTCGTTTTACAACAAATTATTGTTTTTATGCTAATAAGGTTACTTTTTCTTTTTTCATTTTCAGCACCTTTTTCATAAAATCGACGTTTTCGCGCGCTTACCTCTGCAACAACGGCAGCCACAATTCCAAGAAGTAGTATGATTATTCGATTCATGGCGAATGTTCTAAAAACAATTATTAACTATTATACAATGCTTAATCAAAGAAGAAATATTTCTTTTTCTTCTTTGTGGAAGGTTAATATTCCATCTTCATCGAGTTACTTAAAATTCTTTTTGCAAAATCCACTTTTTTTTATAGTAAAATTTAATATCAATT